CAGCCCCTACCTCCCCATCAGCTCCGTAGACCTTCAGCCCCTGCAAGCTGAACCTGAGCAGCACCGACCTCCTGCGGGGACAGTCCTGTCCGGGGGAGATGTGGCACTGGGGGCTGGGCTGTGCCCCCATTATTTGGGGTCCCCCCCTGTGCTTCCCAGCGAGGGGAGCGGTGCTCAGTCCCGACCTTCAGCGCCTGCAGCTGCTCCTCCACCCGCCCCGCTCGCTGCTGCAGCTCCGGCTCCTCCAGCGTGAAGGATCCCACGTACTGGGGGGGCAAAAACCCCATTGGGGTCAGCTGCAGCCCCCCACGATGCCCCCCCAGGGCAGAGATGATGGTTTAGGGGGTCATGAGGGTGCAACAGCACCCAAATCTCATCTCGGGGTGTCACCCCTCCCCTGCCGTGGGTAAGTCACCTCTGCTGGTTTGGTGACAGAGCGGGCTCGCTGCTGAGGGGCCGCGGGGTCCGGCCCCCGCCCGTTCCCCGGCTTCCTCTTCATGGCACGGGGAGTGCGGGTGAAGGCCGGGTCAGGACGGGGTCAGGCAACTCCGATGCCGCATCTGAGTTATCCGGAGCTCTCCAGGGTGATGGGGCTGCAGCAAGCACGGGGAGCCTGGGGCCGGCCCCCGGTCACTGTCCCTGCGGGGAGGGAGGGGACAGACACAACCTGCCCCCGCTGTCCCCTGTCTCCAGCCCGCTGAGCCCTGGGGAGGGGCTGCAGCCCCTGCACGGAGCTCCCCACGTCCTGACGCCAATGCAGATATCCCCAGGTCCCAGCGCAGGTGTCCCCAGGTCCCGGCCCCAGTGAAATGCTCCCAATCCCAACACAAAGGTTCTAGCTTCCTGACCACACAGGTGATGTGAGGGTCCCCATCTTCTACTCCTGAGATCCAGTCCAGGCTGCCATGTCCCCACTCCAAGCAGCATGCAGGCAATCCCCCACATCCCAATCCTGATCCTGACGGTGATGTGAGGGTCCCCAAATCCCCATCCCAAACGCGATGGATGCAGTGCCCACATTCCATCCCCGAATGAAACCCAAGCAGTCCCTGCTGATGGATGCAGTGCCCACATTCCCCCTCCAATTGAAACCCAAGCAGTCCCTGCATGCCGAACAGGCACTCTGGACCCCAAGCAAGGTGCATGCAGCCTCACATCCCGAACTCCAGCAAAGGTTTTGGGGTCCCCCCACATTCTCCCCCTCCCATCCTCCATCCCACTTCCCGCCAGCCACGCAGCAGAACTGAGACCCCGGGGCTCTCCAGGGGTGATCCCCAAACACCACTGACGAGGGCAGCAGATTTGGGGGGCGCTTTTCGGTCCCGAGCAGCCATGGAGGAGCGCGCCGGACCCTTCTCCGGCCACCCCAAGCGGGTTCGNTTTCTTTAAGATTTTTCATAAAATCTTTTATTTAAGATTTTTTCCTCCTGAGAAGCTGAGAGGCCTCAGGAACAAAATGTAAACATTGATTATCTGGTAGATCTTTGATTAGCAACAGGTAGATCTTTGATTAGCTTATGTTAGATGTTTCTAATTAATAGCTAATCACAGCTTAGCTGGCTCCGACAGAGAGACCGAGATACAAACTTTTGTTATCATTCTTTCTATTCTATTCTTAGCTAGCTTTCTGATGAAATCCTGTCTTCTATTCTTTTAGTATAGTTTTAATGTAATATATATCATAAAATAATAAATCAAGCCTTCTGAAACATGGAGTCAGATTCTCGTCTCTTCCCTCATCCTCAGACCCCTGTGAACACTGTCACAGAATAGCTGTGCAAAATGGCCTCCTGCAAAATTTCTGTGCAAGGAATAGTTGTGCAAGGAATAGCTGTGCAAGGAATAGCTGTGCAAGGAATAGCTGTGCAAAGTGGCTGATGGCAGGAAGGGCCATCAGGAAAAGGCGATTTCAGGTAGGATGAGCAGAGCAGCGTGCGGGGCTGGGCCTGCAACCCTCGGATGAAAAGGTTGTGCAGAACACTGCACACACAGCACTGTGCAAAGAAAGGCTGCACAAGGAGGAAATGCAAGGAAACCATGCAAGGCACCAGGTGATGATGTGTGGAGTGACAGCGTGCTGCTCAAAATGCGAGAAAAGGCCACCAAGGGCTGCCTGGGAGCTGTGCAAAACCCCCTGTGCTAAATACACAGAGAGCTGTGAGAGAAACGGGGCTGTCCTGGGCAGGGCCAGGAGCTGCCCTTGGCCATCCTTGTGGGGCCTTTCCAGCACAGAATATTTTGGGAAACGCCGGGTGGGGGAAATGCCCTGCGAGACCCCGAGCACAAATGGGCTGTGCCAAAGCACCGAGCCAGGAAACGCCGTGTGAGAACCCCAGGTGTGAGAGCCTGAGGTGTGAGAACAACAGGTGTGAGAATCCCGGGTGTGAGAATCCCGAGTGTGAGAACATCAGGTGTGAGAATCCCGGGTGTGAGAATCCTGGGTGTGAGAATCCCGGGTGTGAGAGCCCCAGGTGTGAGAATCCCGGGTGTGAGAATCCTGGGTGTGAGAATCCTGGGTGTGAGAATCCCGGGTGTGAGAGCCCTGAGAGTGAGAATTCCATACGTGAGAATCTCGGGTGTGAGTACTCCAAGCATGAGGACC